GGGGTTGTTGCGTTCCTGGAGATACAAGCTCCAAATTGGCTCCCTGTAGAGTTGGGTACACCCCTGTACCCACACAGAAGGTAAGGGAAGACTCACATGTTAACCAATGGCTATATAATCACCACGGCTTAAAAACGTCTATAAGTACAAATTGAACCGCCAAATTGAACCAAATTTCGTCGACTAGTTAAAAAGCAGAATACACGAAACAATAAGAAACAAGAAAAAATACAAAAACGGAAAACTATTTTACGAAAACATCAGAACTGACTGTGGATTTCGTTGCCTTTAGTAGGACTGTCTATGCCCCTTAGTATTGTTACACTTTTGTTACAGCTTGTGGCTACTTCCCAATTAGGTATAGAAATTTGTTTTATTCTTTGGATAATCTTCCTGTGTGTTATCCACTCGGCCCGTATAATTCAAGTGGGATGCTTTAGTTTTGAAACTTTGTTTCTTCGTATCGACTCTTTCTAGTGATATGTGATTTTTCACCCATTGGTTACTGGGATGTTTATATTTGCACGATATTGGTTATTGTCTTGGCATATTGTTTTTTTTGATTATATCACCCTACTCCAGCTATGCTTTCCACTTAGGATGTTTAGAAGTAAGTAATTTCCTTGTGGAGTTTCAGCGGTTCAATTTGTACTTATAGACGTTTTTAAGCCGTGGTGATTATATAGCCATTGGTTAACATGTGAGTCTTCCCTTACCTTCTGTGTGGGTATAGGGGTGTTTTCAATTTGTGTAGTCTATCCATACAGGGATAATTTTCATTGCATGAGATATATAGTCTTACTCACATGTCCCGGCTTCCGTCGTCTCTGTGTGTATAGCTTTCCTCTTCGTTGGGAGGGATGATTTTTAAGTTGTTTTGGCAAAGACAATACCGTCATCCACAGATTTTATCCTTGGTGCGGGCATTCATAGAGTTGCAAAGTACAGGGATATCCAGATAGTGTCCGTATATTATCTGTTTAGTAGATGGGAAGAGTCATGAGCCGAAAACTTTAAAGCGGTGTGTTTCCTCTGTGAGGGGTTAGTCCAGGCATTGCATACACTGCGTCTACGCGTTTCGACCCTCCCCCAGGGGCTTCGTCAGGACGTACTGGTTTGTAATTTGGTGAGGTATATGAAGTCTGTCCTCACCTGTATGCTGTCTTCTAATTTAGCCCTTGCATGGCTCAAGGCTGTATGTTAATTAGTTAGAGACCTGTCAGTTCTTTGTTTTCCTTTTTAAGAAAAAGCATGTATAGAGTTAGAGCGAATAGCAGGTAGGTATAGAGCATGATTGCCTTTGTAAAGGATCGTTCTTTGTACTTTGATTAAGGAGGTCATTTGTAGATGGGATTTTATTTGGCAGAGGAGAAATCTCTTTAGGAGGAATTAGTGTTTTGTAGTTTTCACAGGAAGACATTTAGATTAAATTCATTGTTCAGGCCGTTAGGTATTAGGGTATTTAGTCTGTATGTCCACATTTTTTCTTTCTGTAGGAGAATGGTATCGAAGTCTCCTCTTCGTGGGGACAAATTTAATGCATATATTGCCTTTATTTTTAATCCGTCTGGTGATCCTCCATGCATTTCTGAGAAATGGACCGCTATCGGGCTGTCCTTGTCTCTTTTCTTGATATCATTCAGGTGTTCACCAATTCTAATTCGGAGTTGTCTTTTAGTTTTACCGATGTAGTATTTGTGGCATGGGCATTCTAGTTGATATATGACTTTACTGCTGTCACAATTCATAAAGGAAGTTATATTATAGGTTTTTGTACCTTCTGTGTTGGAGAAGGTATTTGTTTTATCCACTAGATGACAGATTCTACATTTACCGCATGGGAACATACCTTTTGGTTTTGTTGATTCCCTGATAGGTTGTTTTGGCCTAAATTCTGAGCTGGCTAGTGTGTCCCTTAGGTTTGGGGCTCTTCTCGCTGTAAGTAGGGGTCTTGGACCTACTATATTAGATAACGTCGGGCATAGTTCGAAGATATGCCAATATTTGGTCATGATCTTCCTTAGGTTTTCCCATTTGGCACCGTACTTGGTAATCATTCTTGTAAAGTTCTTCTTTTCTTGTTGATCATTAATTTCTTTATCTTTTAATAATTCGGTTCTTATTTTGTTATTTACTTTACTCTTACTTCTTTTGATTACTCTATGTGGGTAACCCCTTTCTCTGAATCTTCTGTATAGGTCTTGTGATTCCTTTCTGTAGTCTTCTTGTTTGCTGCAGTTCCTTTTTATACGCATGAACTGACCAGTCGGAATTCCTTGTTTTAGGGATGGAGGATGGTGGCTCATTGCGTATAATAGGGTATTGACTCCACAAGGAAATTACTTACTTCTAAACATCCTAAGTGGAAAGCATAGCTGGAGTAGGATGATATAATCAAAAAAAACCAATATGCCAAGACAATAACCAATATCGTGCAAATATAAACATCCCAGTAACCAATGGGTGAAAAATCACATATCACTAGAAAGAGTTGATACGAAGAAACAAAGTTTCAAAACTAAAGCATCCCACTTGAATTATATGGGCCGAGTGGATAACACACAGGAAGATTATCCAAAGAATAAAACAAATTTCTATACCTAATTGGGAAGTAGCCACAAGCTGTAACGAAGGTGTAACAATACTAAGGGGCATAGACAGTCCTACTAAAGGCAACAAAATCCACAGTCAGTTCTGATGTTTTCGTAAAATAGTTTTCCGTTTTTGTATTTTTTCTTGTTTCTTATTGTTTCGTGTATTCTGCTTTTTAACTAGTCGACGAAAAGAGTTTGGCCATATCTGTTACTATTTTTGATACTTAAATAAATACTAAATTTTAAAGCAATCTAAATACTCATGGTCTGTCCCGATCATTAAATTAACCCTTGGACCTCCTATACTAAGTAGGTGGACCGAACCTATCTGTTGTGTGAACCTCACAACTATGCCTATCAAGGTTATGTTAATCTCTTGTGATCACATTACACATCTTCAGATTATCAGATTATTGCATAACTGCTTGTGAATTATTACATTATGCAATAATTTTGATTGGTATATAGGGATTTATACCAGCCTATACTATAGCCTTCATGCACTTATTCAAAGAAACACGCTTGCAACCCATCTATCTTAACTGTAAACTCTGCTAAATAGAAGACATGTTTTCAGCTGAGGTTCTTTAGTAGGCATAAGACCATATATTACTTTTATCCTGTCAAAATGCCTTCTGTCCTTTCTATTCTCAGCTGTATGTAAAATCAGAGCTGCCTGTTCCACATTATATGTGGACAAACAGAAAGGCTTATACTCTTTGCGCAGCTTGATGCCCAACTCTGTACATTTTTCCCAGGGTACTGATCAATGACAAAGATTTAGAAACATCTTTCACTGGACAATATAAAATTGTTCTCTTGGTATCTGACCAATTGCGGTAAATACTCTGTGCACAGAAATTTCAAATGTTACTCTTAAAAAACCTAGACAAGATTTTGAAAGATACATATGTCATAATGAAAAAAAAATGTACAGGGCCATATTTCAGACACATCTACCCATATGAGTTTTAGTTTTAACAATTTTCAGTTAATCATTTTTTGCAGAGTAACACAGAATAGGCATAAAACGCCATCAAAAGATTACAATTTATGTAATAAAGAAAAAGGCTTGAGGCAATATTTATAAGACAGATTCCCCTACGTTTCATGGCACATACCTGTCTGATGAGTGAATCCAAAGGAATAACAGAATGAAACATAAAACCAAATATAAGCGCAACTCTGCCTCTGACTGGCTATAAACTGTTTAAGTACTGGCTATACATTTTTCGGTGTTAAAAAAAACAAACTTAAACTGCCACTCTTAACTACTTTAAACTTTAGATTTGTTATAAGTAAAATTGTACAGAATCTCTAACATGAATATAGAGAAAATTACTTATCTGAAATTGCTATCACAATTTGTGTTAAAATTGATTAGAAATGACTTTGCAGCTTCACTGTAACTTTACCTACTTACATAAAATTGAATAACTTTTCATGCATAAAGCTGATAGCTAAAATGTCAGTCATACTATATTACAGACATATTTTTTACAATGCAGTGTATAGGATTTCTACATTTTAATAGAAGATCCTGTCCTTCAAGTAAGATTTATATACAGTGTTAGCGGCATGTGGTCTAATGCTGAGCCAAAAGTGCAATAAAACAAACTGATAACTACCCCCAAAAAAACCATTGGTCTTCTTCCATAAAACAGTGCATATTCAGGAATCATAGTAACACATTACAAACCTATTCAATTTCACTTTATGATTCAGAGAACTTTACGAAACAAAGATACCTGCTGATCGTTTGACATTGGTAACCAATTTAAACACTGCACTTTATTACTGCACTTTGTTGTCAAACTGTGCCAACAAGCTAATTCTTCCATTGGATCCTGGGGACTCCAATGCCTTTCTACATTGGAGTTTCTGCTCAGAGACATTTTGAGAGGGTTTTTATTCTTCTTGTTTAAGTTTTCATGTAGCTTACAATATAGAGAATGCTGCATAAAATGCAAGGTTTTACCCTGCTACCAGTGCAGTCCCTGAGAGATATATGAAGATATTGAGTAAGGATTCAACCCACCAGAGTCTATGACTAAAATTTCACAAGTAGGAGGACTGCCCACTAAGATACCTTATGACATCTTGGCCACAGTAGAGCAGTGAAAATATAAAAGATATGCTATAAATTATTTTAACTATATGACCTACACTAGTCTGAAAAATATCCATGTTAGGTACCAGTATAATGTAATCAATGCTTGGTTCCTGCAACAGTGACAAATATGTATAACATTTCATGTCTCCTTAGTCTCTGTAGATTCTAAAACAAGCACTAACAAGCTTCTTTGCTATCGGACTCCCTGAATTCTCTGACAGCTACAACAGGTAAGCAATTACTGGGAGTTCAACTTATCTGTAACAGACAAGTGCAAGCTATAAGTTTCAGATAGAAAACATAACTTGAAACTTACAAATGCTACAGGTGATTAGGAGAGGTTTCCTGCAAATTACACCCAACACAAACACCTGCAACAACCAAGATCCAGCACAAATAGTGCTTTTTTTGGACTATAGTGCACATCGATGGAGTGGCATCACGTGGCCTCCATTACTCTCCAGTTTCCCAGATTCCTATTTTTGGCTACCAGTTGAAAAGGGCATTTTGTCCAAGAGTCATAAAGTAAATTTGACTGCTGCCTCCAGACTGCATTGAAGCAAAAAATACCTGAAAAGGAAATATACTGCAGTTAGAAATCTAAAAGGTAACAACACAGTTCAAATGGGGCCAGTTTTGTATTTTGAAAGTATAATAGCTTAGTGGCATCTGCCATCATGCCCTGCATTCCTGGTTCAGCAATGTGATACCTAATGCTAAACCATAAGTCGGAACTAGCACTTATCTTATCCACTACAGCAAGGAAATCAAACAAACTGATGACAATGCCTTGTACCCCATACATTACTACAGTTGGGAAGCTAGAGATTGTGTCCTTGTGGTATTTTCCCCTCTGCTATACTTCTCAACTTTACACTATGATGGACCCTTTAGTAATATCATGTTTCACAATGCTTTGTGAATGTCTGTTATCAAAAACATTTCCAAAAGTCATTGCTATCTAAAAGCATATATATTTTGTGAAGTTGGGGAGCTCACAGAGCACTTGCACAGAGGGTTTTGCATAAAACAAAAGCTTTTATTTTCCTCTTGCAGGTCAGCCAACAAACTGTAAACACAAATATACGCTTATCTTCAGCAAACTCAGAGTAAAAGTCCAAATCTTAGGCACGGATAACAAAACATAAAGATGTCTCACCGACTTGTTGTATAAAAGTCCCAAACCTCGGGAAGTCCCTTCCCAGGAATATTAGCACTGCAGCACAACAATCCAGCAGGTCTCTCACAGCGGATTACTTTCTCCTCAACTCCCACACTACTCTCTGGAGTTGCTGACCTTTTCAACTGCTTCCTGTGTCAGGGAGGTTAACCCTTTGGTGCCCCTAAGGGGACCACAGCCCAAAGAGTGGCAAAATATATCGGCCTTCAACCACCCAGCCTTGCCGTCCTCTACAATTTATATATTAATATGGGTACTGGGTTGAGTTTGCATCTTGTACAATTCAATATAAGATGCACAATATAAAATTATTTATAGTATATTCATTTGTTAAAGGCATAAAGCAGTGCAAATGCATCAATGATATTGTGCGATGTTTGCTACATTGCAGCAATAACTATATCTCATTTGTTGTGCAGTTTGATCAGCGCAAGTTGAATTTTGATTGCCTGTCATATGTTACAGTACACATGGCTTTTTGCAATGTTAAGGAAACTTCACTGCAGAGCATGGAGTAAATCTAATAGCTAATAAAAACATTGTGTATTCGCTCTACAAAAGTTAAACAGGACAATATAAGCCAAGCACAAAAAAAAGCACACAGCGCTAGCTTTATTAAAACTATATAGTAAATATTTATTGACGTGAATGTTACGATCAAGTAAGTTCTAAACTGCTGTCTGTATGTGATGGCACTTTATTTTGCACTTAATTTCCAAGTATTAGAGCTTAAAATAAACCATAAGGGAGAATAACCCAGTACTTGAGCGGTGATGTGTGGCAGCAATCAGGACAATAAGACAAGGTCAGTCAAGCTCTCGTCATTAATGTCCAGTTTGTTAGCCATTGCTCTGTCACATGTAGATCTTTTCTGGGGCCAGAGATGGGAGAATTACCAAAATGACAGCAGAGTTAATTTAGAGACAGGGGCATCAGCTTATCATACTAGCCAAATCCTGTGTGTGATTCAGGCATGAAGAAAATGCTAAGTAAGTTGTTCAGTATGTCCAATTATGGGTAATAAAATCACAATGCCTAAAAGATGTAATCATATAGAAGATTCAAGCTGGCACTTACACAACACTCGGTTTATCTTTTAGCAGTGATGTTGTAATGTACAAAAACTTGACTTGACTAGAAACATTTAAAGTCTGCAAGGAGCTGTGCTTGTATAATGTAAACAATTGCCATGATGCAGAGCACTTAGTCATGTCTGCCATAAAGGAATATTGTACACCATATCATGGAAATTCTTTATCGTGTGTGCACACCTAGGCAAAATGATAGGTGCCAAAGCACAAAGTGAACGTGCATACTGGAACTAGCTAAATGTCCATGCAGGTACTCGGGCTTAAAACCACAGTTACCCACTTGTTGTTAAAGCTGTTTTAGTTTTCTTTAAAATGATGTTTGTTCACATTTGCCTTACTAGATCATGGACAATGCATTATGTTTATCAGGGCTGTATTCTGTAACTGTATTCATTTTTTTACATTTAGGTGTGTGCCTTGTATGCTTTGAACTACAAAGGACATTCCAGATAAATACAAAAATATATAAATAGTAGAAACAGTCAAGGCTCTACTGCTTTACAGAGGCAAGCTTAAAGAAAGGGAGACTACAGGGATACCCTTATTTATGTACTGCTACTCCTTCCTTGGGCAATTGCAAGTTGGGTAGGAGAGGTAACTGTGGATTTAAAATGTAATCAGTAATTTTTGTTCTATATTCACCCATCAGATAGGTTAGTACAATTAACATAATTTGGAGAAGGGCATGCTGAACTGTGCACACAGAGGGTGCTAGTAGTTAGAGTGTGGTAGGATGCACTGTATATGTAGGGCAGATAACCAGGCCTATATTTACCATAATGGCACTCATTGGACAGTGCCTGTAGCAGCCATTACAGCGTGCAGTACCAACCCTCAAAACTGACAAGCATATCTCTTATTTTCTTTTACTCTTCTGTTAGTCTCTATACATTTGTGACTACCTTTAGAAAACTGCAGATAAAAGGAAACACAAAGAATGTTAGAGAACATCTAGAAATCTGTACCTAAGCAGTGCCCTGAAAGGTTTACCATGTCTGGATTTCCTCCTAAAAAACAGTGTACTTCCTGGTATGTAAAGGCACTTACAGCCTTCGACTGTACATCCACAGTGTGAGAACCAAGGCACTGCTACCTCTGACTGCTGGTTTCAGGGTTTTTGAAGTAAGATTTGGCGATATCACTACTGCGCTGCTCATTGTTGTTATCGAGGGAGGCTCTGACATTAGAAGGCAAAGATGCCTAATCCCACATAGAGATCCAGTGCAGAACAAGGTATGGGGGACAAGTCAGTAACGGAGAAAGATCAACTGCAGACCATAGGCAATGCTTGTGACTAGCATCTGCGCGCATCCCACTATGTGAACACAGACAGGAGGGCCCATGTATTATGAATTCTGGTGCTCTATGGGCTATGTAGACTCTGACGCCCAGGTCTGCAGTGCTCAGTGATCATCAGCTAATCTGTACTCCTGAGATGCTGTGTCCTGATTCTGATCATCCATTACTGACCTGGCTTGTCTTGACCTTCCACCACTACTCTACTCTAGAACTTCTCTGTGACCTTGGCTCGTTCTTCGACCACCGCTCCTGCCTTCTGTCTTGTACTGCACCATCTGTACATTACCGACCCTGGCTTATTCTTGACTACGTTTCGGCCTGCTGCCTGATAACGCTCTGCCTGCACATTGTACCGGATTACGGCTCTTCTGGAACTTGACTTGCTGGTGTTCCACTCCTGTGCCGGCTTCCTCTCTGAGGTTCGCCAGCATCGCAGAGACTGCCTTCTCAGCAACAGTCACACCTCCTGGCACTCATGCCCCTCTGTGTCCCTGCGTACCTTTTCTGACATCCAGGGGCTTTGGGACTGGAGCAGCAAGGGAGGCCACCCTCGTCAATTCAGACTCCATCCAGGTACATAACACTGATCATATGTTTACCTTTCCTCTGAAGGAGGTTCCAGTAATTAGAGTGGCAAGGCAATCACTGAGTTATAGACATGTATCAGGCCCAACCCACCAAAATATTTGGGTCTATCAAGAGTGTTCTGTTCTTTCTGGCCTTCTGCCTCGAGAAGATGTGTGTCCAAGAGGATCTACTACTTGGATCTTGCTTCAGTTGGTGCTAGAAGCCTAAGAAGTTAAGTTGACTGCTGGAGTGGATATCTGGGGGGAGCTGGGCTTACAAATAATTTTCTGCTGAAGAATCCCATAGAGGAGCTGGGTAGAAGCAAAAGCTGGACATTGTAAGTTTATTGCCCACACATCAAGATATCCTTAACTACTATTAACCCCTTCATGACTGAGCTTGTTTTTAGTTTCTGTTCGTAAATGACTGACACATTTTTGACATTTTTGCTGTGTGATTCTTCCACGCCAGTAATATACTTTCTTACAAAGTGCACCCACACATATTGTATATTGTTTTTTAGAGGACAGATAGGGCTACATATTTATATCACATATGTGCGTCTAACACCTCACTTAGGACAAATAAAATATAAAAAAAGAGGAAAAAAACGTTTAAAAAAAACACTTTTTTCCCAGTTTTGATTTGTAGTATTTTTTTTACAAAACCAGCACAGCTAAAAAAATGCAATAAATACATTCATTTATTTGTCCCTTATTTTATTTTATTTTTTACACATTTTTTTATTTTTTTTACACTTTTCACAATTTTTTTTTTTTTTTACACTTTTCACTTTTTTTTTAACTTAAAAATGTTATTTTATTTATTTAATTATATCAAGCAGATTTTGTGAATTAATCTCACTGTTACTGCATGATAAATTAATACATTTTTGGTTATTATCAGGCTGCTTCAAACTTCAGAACAGCCGATAATAAGTTAGTGACACTGATCCTGCAGCAGTTCAGGATTCAGCTGTTACTAAATGTTTTCTGATTGTTGCAACAACGATCAGCAAACAAACATTCTTCTTCCAGGAATAGATACATTGTAGGAATAGACACATTTTGTATCTATTCATGAAAGAAAAAAAAAAAACCAGTATAGCTTGAGAGAGATATCTCTCGATCTATACGAGCTGTCAGAATGCCGGCAAAAGCCGGCATCTGTGTCCGCTTTGCTTTGACTCTCAGACACCCGATATTAAGGTATCGGGTGTCTGAAAAAGGTTAACCCTTTCATTAATGAATGCCTCTGTAGTAAGGGCATACATTAATGAATGTTAAAAGCTGATTCTCAGCGATTAACAGCCCTCTAAAGCAGCAAATAACTCGTCACGTACAGTGTACGTGACAAGTCATTTGGTCCCTTTGTGGCTGGACGTACAGTGTACGTCTCCCGTCACGAAGGGGTTAAAGTTTAAGGTAAAATTCATTAGAGAAAGATCAACGTCTACTTAAGACTGTTTGCTCTTGCACGGTCATACGTTGTAGATCTGTCTGCCTGCTCTCACAGGGCCAGCAATTACCTAGAGTCTGCTATTAATGGGACTGCTTTTTCCAGAATATCTGCCCTATTGTTCAGCTTTTTGGGTATCCTGCACCCCTAAACCTTCTCTACTAGATTGAGTTTAGCAATAAAAGGTAAAAAGACTGAAGTGACTGGAGCCTAACTAACGCTATACCACACTTGAGATTATTCTGCATCACCCTTAAGGAAGAGTGCTACATTTATACTGTTGCCAATACCATACCTTGTCATTTCTTTCACACAAGAATTTTAACTTCTGTGCCTTTTTGTGCATGAAAACCCCTTCTAAATTTCCCGTCTCTCCAGATCGCAGCTCGATTGCTTTCTCTCCCCAGCCCATTATTTGATTAGACTGTAGATATGCTGAGAAAAAAAGGATAAAGATTGGGTTAACTCTAAAATTAGGTTTGTTGGATTAAATCAGCAGTACTAGTTAAAAGATTTTTTTTCCTTTAATGTTAAAATAGGTTCCAGGGAAGCAATCGCCCTGAATATTCACTATCTGAAGAGACTATATGATAGTTCTGGGATGCAGGGTCAAGCATAGAGGAGTGTACAAGCTTCATAACAAATTATTAGAATATGTGGCCAAAAGTGTACAGCAGCTGAAAGTAACGGGGCGTATGAAATCAGTATGACATCCTCAGACGTGCACCTGATGCCTTGTTTAAACCAGATCTTTGGGAGCCCCCTTTTGGGCTAGTGGATTAGTTGCTTACAGCTGATATTTTCATCCCATAGTTTATTCTTAACAGGATGTAAGAAGAGTTCACGTTAGTTCAAAATTGTTTGCAAAACCTTATACAATAATCTAAAAGCCCATCAAAGCATGAAAATTACGGTTTTCATTCAGCAAATCATATTTGCTGCACAACAGTCATGTATTTTTTATTAACAATGGCACTTGACATGCATGTAGCATTGAAAGCAAATATCAGCGGGAAAAGTGACGGACTTCATCTCCAGTACTGTGTTTCAGTGCCTACTTAAATTTTTCTGATCATTTACAATGGACTGCATTTTTATAGATATTGGTTGCATTGTAGCTGTACAAGAAATGCCTATCATATACCAGCTCATCTTTAGACCTTAAGTGCCATCCACAGACAGACAGAACCAACAATGACCTACATCAGTTTAAATGTTTACAGATCTCTTTATATCAAGCAAAATTGTTCAAACCTAAAAAATACCTTTAAAATTCAGTACCATGTCAAACGTGGTACCATAATAGGTGCAATAAAAAACATCAATAGTGTACATGGATTATGTTTATTGACAAAAATACATAGGGATCAACATTGTATCCTGACAGAATACACAAGTGGGTTTAAATGAAAATCGAGAGTTAAGCCTGTCTTTCTAATCCACTTATCCATTCCTGCAAATTGATTCCGCTAAATGAAAGGTCTCAAGTTCATAAAAGGCTACAGATGGTTGTAACACCACCTTCCCCAATAATATCCAGGTCTATGTATACACTCTTACAGCACACCTACTCTCCAACAGTGTTTGTGACTCCTGTCAGATACTGAAAAAAATAGTTGAGAGCTGCAGCCAGAAGGATGAAGGCCATTAAGATATTGATTAACATTATGCATCATCTCAGAGGGAGAACTCAAATATTGACTTTATAAATAGCCTCTTTCAGTCTTCTAGGAAGCTTGTACTACACTCTTTCATGTTCTGTCTAATGAAATGGCTACATACATTGATGTTCTTCCATCTGATAAGCGCAGCAATACTAACTAATACAAAAAAAACTAGCTGGCTAATGCATGTTCTCTGCATGTTTAACAGGCAAAACAAAAAAAAATGTCCTATTGCACATCTAGCTTTCATTCACATATACTGCATAAATAGAGGCACTGGGGTGACAAATGTGCATTTAGTGAATGTAGCATATAAACCTTTGCCAGGTTAGTTTTATTAGTATCCCCCTTCATTTATTAATTAGTAAAGGAGACAACTTTTGGTAGATTGACAATTCCACCACCTTACCACAGTCATTTCTAATCCACCCAAGAAAAATACTATTGGGACTTTAAAGCAGATGTCTGATGTGGATAGAATGTATAAATAACAAACTATTAAGATGGAAATTTTCTGTTTGCCATAGCAATTCGTGATTTTAGACTGATTTTTGTACTATAGATTATAGCATAAAAGAAAGAATGTGTTTCGTTGTGCAAGACACATATGTTTTCTTTTAGACACATTTTACACATGATGACCACCATCTACAGTATAAGTGTGTGTGAGTATTTCTCAGAGCATAAAATCATAAAAGACACAGTTGCACTTATGTCTTGTTGTGCTGAAGATTCTTTTTTTGGACAACTAGGGTAAGTACTAAGACAATATGTAACAGTTGGAATTTAATTTTACATATACATTTAACCTGAACTGGTCACTGACTGTGTGAGAAACTCCTGAAAGGAGTCACACGATTCTCTGTAGCTCTAATAACAAACAGCCAAATGTTTTCTCTACATGTCCCTCACTGGTGAACAGTTTGGTTTGAGGGCCAGAGTCACACCAGCAGCTGCACTACAACGCATTGTGCTGAAGCACCGATCCCAGTGCATCACACCACTTACGTTTTTTGCTTGAGCTTTATTCAAATGTCACTAGTGACATTGCATTAAGTTCCATGGGCACATCATGGTGTGATGCAGTTGTACTGTGTCGCACCCTGCTGTGCTGAAAAAAGTACTGCATGCTGTACTTTTTCAGCACATACCACTGCAACACAGTGGGGTGAACTGAGCCTGTTTGAAACAATTGGCTAGTGCAAATTGCCTAGTGTAGCATTGGGGCTGTGCTGGAAAAAGCTGCCAGCAGACCCCTAACACATCTGGTGTGAATCCAGCCTAAAATGAAAATATATTTTCAGCAAGCACACTCAAGGATTGTAATGGATAGACAAATGTGTATGTGTGTTTTTTGTTTAACTCACTAGTCTTTCACATCAGTATCTTCTCTCCATCCGTGCCATCATCCATTTCATTCATGGACCACTGTTATGCCTGGGCATCCAGAAGAGGAATCAAATGAACAATTACATCATTTCTGCTGCTCAGTGCTCCTTGATAAAACGTAATTTCCAATGATACAGTGGGAATTGTAGTCCTCATAGGTAGGATTGTGGGTCGGCGGGAGGTAATGGTGTGGCAGGACAGAGCAGGAGTCTCATGGTCCGTCATTTAAAGAAGTAAAAGGTAGGTGGGAAGGACAGACTGGTATTCTGAGACTCCCAGGTCCTCCCACTACAGTGAGCAGTGATGTCATTATGTCACTGACCACTTGTAAATGAACTACTAGACCTGTGGCTGAGGGGAAAGCGGGCAGCGGAATGACTCCTTATTATACAGAAGTGATTTCTCAAAGGGTGGATTCCTGCACTAAAAGACATTAACAAATAGCTTAAAAGGTTAAAAAAATTACATAAAAATATGTGAAAAAAATTCCGACCAGAGTTCAACTTTATTTTCTGATGTGGCTTAAACATTTTATAAGTTTACTTTACCTTATTTTTGTGATTGTATTAAATATAAAAATGTATAAATTGCCAACTAGAAGGAACTAACTGCAGCTCAGTGAAACTATCCTGCCTCTCTTAAAAACTGTTGGTAAGGAAATCAACCATACGAGGAATTAATTATTTTCAGTGATTTGGCGGACTCAGACTTTCATTGTGAGAAGAATCAGTAAAATACAAACATTCTGCAGTCCTGCTAAGAAGGAAGCAGTGCCTGTGTATGTCATGAATAAATAATTCCCCATATAAGAACATTGTTACTAGTTTATATAAGAACAGGATTTTTTAAAACAATGGCACCTTTTGATAGGTGCATCACTCAGCTGTAGATCCTCAGATCATATCTGAGTCCAGGCCGACACTGTCCTTCTTTCTGGAGGGTGGCTACTTGTGTTCCCCATGGTCCCTGTGTGTGTTGTAAAGTACCCAACGATCCAAGCTCTCTACTGTGATGGACTACAATCTCACATTTTGTATTGAGATTGTAGGCCATCACGGGAGTGAGCTTGGAGCGATGACTGCTTTACAACACACACAGGGACCATGGGGAACAAAAGTAGCCACCCTCAAGAAGGAAGGACAGTGTCAGCACCAATTCAGAGATGATTTGAGGATCTACAGCTGAGTGATACACAAATAAGATACATTTTTGTTAATAGGTAAGGTACTTGAATGTATTTTTAAGATTTAACTCCTGAGTTTAGCGTCACTTTAATGTTTTCATTAATCATCAGGGGACCCAGATGGTGAGAAATATAAAAGGATGTTATTGTTCTTACTATGCTTACGACAATGTATGGTCTAATTGAAGTCCTAGGTAGACTTGCTGCACCAGGAAATAATGAGTAATAGCTGTGCTGTTGCTACTCAGACCATTTCACCATCAACCAGGGCCTCATTACATGATCCAGTACTTCAAATGTTTTTAAACCCTAACAATTAACTTCTTATTTGTTTCATTTTAGTCTGTTACATATGAAGTTAAATTAAATGTTGTTATACCTGTTCAATAAATGCAAAACACACACACCAGCCACTGTGCATTGTAGTGCAGTTGCTGGTGTGAATGAAGCCTAAATGGCAGACCACAATTTAGACCTCTGCTTCATGAAAATTTTACTCACTGGACCTCCTTGAATTTTAATTCACTACCCCTGGCATAAAGCATAAGCTTCTTGTTTAGTAAAGTGCATCTCTACCCATGTTTATTTTTAAAAAATGTTTTGGATAGTGTAAAATTGTTAGAATATCTGTCAAGTTTTTTTTACTGTCTGTGCCCACCATTCAGTGAACCTTTTTCATCTTGGTAAACAGTAACCAGGACCCAAAATGGAAGATCTAAAATATTAAACTTGTAACCAGAACAGGAGTTGAGGGGCAAATCTCCCAGTTGGGACATTTGGTCTAGTGACAACTATCTTAGAAGGGATTTCCCCTAACTGTGAGGAAATGTAGTCTTACTAGCCTTTAACTGTCTTTCCCAGTGGGACAAAGGCAGCAACCAAAACTAACAGGGTAGCAAACCTTTCCCACTATCTGAAAAGAAATAAGATTTACTAAAGATGACTAAGAAGATTAATGATGGTCACTAAATGTTGATAAAAAACAGCTTAGGAATGTTGACAAATAAAATAATTCTTCATTCATACTTGTCACATTTAAAAAGCCTTCTTCCTCAAATTCTTGAATATTGACAAAAAGACAACTTTGTAATGACACCTTAGAAGACAAAGCAACTACAAATTAACTACAAAGATTCAGAAATCACGAAAAGTAACAAGAAATATTCAAAAAGCACCCATGGTAAAAGAGGAGCAAGAGC